GATCCTAATTTTATTCAATGCCCCCAATTTATTAGGGTTGGCTCTGACAAAATGTCATCTTTAGACTTATATTGTCACTTGACTTAGATTTATAAGTTTTTAAATTGGTCTTTTCCTCGCTGTAGAATTAGAATCATGGGGGTTTCATCTTCTTGTAAACCATTTTGATAAGGTGATAGGTCTCTTGTACCTAGCCCCTTATAATCAATTTTTTTGTGGTCGAACTCCTAGGTTTGAAAAATTATTCCATACGGACACCGTATGCCGTCCATCACAGCAAATATGTAAGACGATGGGCCCTATTTTGATTTTTTTTTTTTTTTTTTTTTTTTTTTTTTTTTTTTTTTTTGTTTTTTTGTTGTGATGGACTGTGATGGGAGGTGCAGATCGGACACCGTATGCATCTCTGCATACAATGTCCGTATAAAATAATTTTTCCCTAGGTTGGCTTCTGACTGTTGTTTAGTCATGGCGAACCCCAGGTGGTTGTATGACCACGGTCGGCCTCAAGCGGCATGCTAGCCGTGATTGGCCTCTGGTGGTCGGCCTTTGGTTTCGCCTCGTCGTGGTCGCCTCTCGCATGAATGCTCTGTCGACCCGTCTTCAATCCTCCGATATCTCAACTTGACCTTCTTGTACATGCCCGGGCATGTTTTCTTGGTTGACTTTCTATTGGCAAAACGACGGCAAAGCGAAGTGAGTGTCATTTGAATCCTGTTGACACAGGCCACTACCTTTTGGCTGTACAACAATTCAAACGTCCCTTTGCATTGAGAGCGAGCAAAATCATTTCTCATGATAAGTACAAAGATGCTTAACCCCATAAAGTCAAAATCTCCAATAAAATATGAGGCTCATCTAAATTACCCTATCCAAAAATGTTCATCATAGACATAGCTCAAATAAGACTCACAATGATGTTTAAAAACAAAAGCTTAAGGATATTCGACAATTTGTTAGATACATCTCCAGTGGTCGCATTTTTAATACATTTTATTCGGCATATTCTTTGAATTTTTTATTATATTACAAATCAAAATGTTCTTCAAATAAATTTGGCATTCCAACAATGATCTATTTGACCATCATAGGATATTTTATTAAACATTTGTTCTTGGTTATTTTATTAAATATCTAATTCTCATAATTATTGCCTTGTAAAACTCGTTCATCATTGTCAAGTGTTCATTTAACCTCTACTCGGCTTGCAAAATATTTTCAAAAAATAAAAAAAAAATATATATAAAATATTAAGTACATTTCATTTATTCAAAGAATAAGAACATCAAACAATCAAAAGAGCTTTTAAGAGTTATTGTTTGGCTAGTTTGGGACATGTAAGTAGAAAACACTTATGTCTTAACATATATGGTTGCCATGTTGTGTTTCTACATATCATCTAAGAGAAATAGAAGGGGAAATTTACAAACATTCCACATAATTCTTAGGTATTTATATATCGAGCACCTAAAGTTTGATATTTACATTTAGGAGCAATTGCATATATACCACTCATTTATTAGGTATTTACATATCAAACATCTAAACTTTACTTATTACATTTACACTGCCCAAATCTATCATATCACATCAAAAATGTCACCTTTTTATGCATAGGTAAGATGGCACATGTGTAAAGATTGAAGTTTTGGTGTTAGATATGTAAATAGATAAGATTTGAGTGATATGTATGTAAATCTTCTTTACATTCATAACACACTTTGGTGTTAAAACCTATACATGAATAGGTGTGTTGCACTTTTAAAAAATTAAGAATAGTATTTTTTTTATGCAGTACCTAAAATTTGAGTAAAATGTTTGTAAATATGAAAGTTTAGGTGCTACATAAAAAAAAAAAAAAAAGTTTGGGTTATAGATACATAAATATATATGAATTATGTGATATCTAAGTAAAGGCCACAAATATATATATATATATATATATATTTGGCCTTGAGCTCATCGTTTAAGGTCTATTTAGGGTCTGAAGAAGCAACTGTGAAGCTCCTACAGAAGAAATTGCTTTTCAAAAAGTTGTTATTACAGATATATTTTATTTTCAAAAGTCTGATCATAGTCTTCTAGCAGCCACCATGCTTTAACAACTCAGATTGAAAAAAAAAAACTTTTCTATCACAGAAATTTTTAAAAAACAACGAGAAAGCAGTTCCCCAAACAAAACTGTGGTGGTGATCAAAAAAGCAAAGCTGACAGAAAATTGTCCCAAACAGCTCGTTAATGTTTTCCTTTATTGAGTTCATGAACTCATGGGACTCAATTACTTAAATGTTGAACTCATCATTTAAGAAGCCAAACTCATTGGAACGACTGTACTTAGTATTTGGCTCCCAATAAAGCCTCCATTCAACCTTGTTTAAATTCATTAAGCAAATAAGAAGAGATTTTTTTTTCCCTAAGAAGTAATAAGAAAGCTCTTGGAAAAGAAGTCACCAAAGAAGCAAAGAAGGGAGGAGAGATTAAAGATACAAAACAAAGCATAGAGGCCTAATTTAAAGAAATCATGTTAAGTCATAGAATTATTGAGAAAACTCTAATTTCATCAACCCTAAACTCTAAAAAATTAAAGCAAAGACAATCAAAAGCCTTTAGTGATCAATTGCATTAAGATTCAAAATAACATACATGAGAAGCTCAAACAAGATTTCAAAATTTAAATCGTCAACAATCACAAATGTCATTTCCAGAAAAAAAAAAAATTAACAAAATTCTTTGGCTAAGCAAACATGTAAAATGATTAAAGAAGACATGCACAATAGATATATATATATATATATATATTCTTTTTTTTTTCTTTCAGTATATATTTTTATATAAAAGGAAAGCACAAACTTTGTAAAGAAAATTACAAATTAAAAAAATAAAAAATAAATAAATCCTTTTACATACCGAATAAGTAAGTAATATCTAGCTTTCAGGAGGAAGCCTGAAAAATCAAGGTAGGTCTGCAATGTCTTTGAACTAAGCATTGAATTATTGGGTCAAGAATGACTTGATTGGTCGAGCTTATCAGGATAGTCGAAAAAGTGAAGGATGGGATAAGTAACGGCGGTAAAGAGGAGAAGTAAAACTGTAGAAAAGAAAAATAAGCTTTCTAGTTCTAATCTTTGGCAACCCTTTCTTTTTTACTTTCTTCAGTTTCTTCAAGCGTTATGATTTTAATCTTTTCTTTTATGGCAATAACAAAGATGATTCACCAACAAATTTATGCTTGTCCCATTCATTAAATCTTTTCAATAGGACTACAGAAATTTCATTAATGCTTTTTAATCGGACAAAACTAAAGTGAGTCGTCTTAGATGGTTTGGTTAAATGTCAACCATCTGATGATCCGATTAGAAGAGTAGATGTTTAGACTCAACTTATGTTAAGAAAGAGATAGACCTGGGAAGACTTGGGCTTATTGTATAGAAAATGATCTTAATTTATTAGAATTAAATGAAAATATGACACTAAATAGGACACAATGGAGAAAAGGGATTCATGTAGCCGACCCCACTTAGTGGGATGAAGGTATTGTTGTTGTTGTTTTTTTTTTTTGTTGTATGCTTTTTAATGTTCTCCATATCTTTAACGAATCGAAGAAGTGCATGCAATATCTTCAATGTTGAAACCAGTGGCCTATTGGTTGGGGCTTCATTCCCCGCCACGGTGGTGAGGGTTCAAAACACATCTAATTTACTAATCCTAGTGCCCTTAAGCCTCACCTTCCAGAAAAGAAAAATGAAATATTTTCAATGTTTGAAGGACATTTAAAAACCTAAAACAGTCAGCGCATTAACCATTTGCCCATTAAAGAAAAAATAATAATGCACCAGGATGCCCTAACTCTAGTCAGGAAAGTTGATTAATTTTATCTACGTGTTAACTTATCAACAGAGAAAAGAATCAATAAGCAACCGTATACACAACATTGACTCAACTAAATTAAGCAAATGGCATCACTATTGTGATATAAACTCAAGTAAAAAAAATTGAATCCACTCATTAAGAGATAAGATAATCTCACTAATGAACTCGCAATTCTCTGGGCTAGGCGCTAACTTTTTCCCAAAAAAAAAAAAAAAAAAAAAAAAGAACTCTCGATTCAAATCTTCTAGACAGCACCATAAATACATTAAATATTAGCCATCAAGATTATTTAAACTCGGCAAATCAGTTCACTATCAAGTCGTCCAAACATTAGATGTTACCAACCAGCTCATGCTCAAATTACCAGAGACTTCATAACAGAAGCTGCATTCTCAGATAGCTCATCATAAGTTCTTACATAATTTATAGCTACAAGCAAACTAAACTTATTCATTTTACAACAAGCATTGCCAATACTTGTTATATAATTTTACTTTTGTATAGGGGAGCAAATAAGTCGAGTCCATGCTTGATTTGAGCTTGCTTACTTAAATGAGTTTGATCTCGAGTTTAATGTTACGGGTTCAAGCAAGATTGTTTATTATGAAAGAAAATAATATTAATTCAAGCTAGTATAATAAAAAAATGACAAATAGAACAAATAACTAGAGATAAATAATTACTTGATATAACAAATAAAAAAAATATTTTTTTTAATATAATAATTTAAAGAAAAAGAATTGAACTTAATATATTTTATATATTTTATATAAATATTTTCAAAATTGAACTAGCTCACAAGCTAACTAGTCATTTCGGGATTGGCATGAGCTTGACTTATTAGCTCATTAAGCTCAATTCACAAACCACTTATCGAGCCGAGCTCTAGCCAGCTTAGAGTCATCTTGGCTCGGTTACACCCCTACTCGTGTGTAATCTTTCATGTAACACTACAGCTTGACTCAAACCTATGGATAAGCGCTTGGGATATGAATCATGGCTACAACTCATTTCCCTACCTTGGTTAGCACTTCTTTTTAAAAATTAGCTTTTATTCAGTTGTATTAGTAAAATTCTGTCATTAGTTACAAATAAATTAGGATCCAACTCATCCTTCATTTATCAAAAAGAAATTTCAAATAAATTAGGTTTTATTATGCTGCATAACAATTCCTTCATCAGTAGATTTCCATCACAACTCATACATATTATATTTTATTTCAACAGTGAAAGAATAAATAATTAATATAGAATCACCAGGAAATAACCTTACCTTTTTGATGCTTCTAGATGCGACTTATATCACGACCAAATATTAAGGTAGTTAGCCAGTTTATGGCCACATAGAACCTGTTTCTCCAACTCACAACGCGCGTTAGGTATGCAGACCTCCAGATGAACCAGCTCACAAAACCAGCAAGCGACAATCCCTTGGCCTCCTGGAAGAGTTTGTGACACATTAATTATTACAAAACACAAATTGCAGCATGATTATTCCAAGAATTACGACATAAGCCATTAGAATTACGAATTATATGTTATTAGAAATGATAATTATGCAAGTAAAAGCTAGGACGAAAATATTATAAAGAAGATTGCATTAGAAGGATAAGAATAATAAACAAAAAGTTTCAAATAGATGTTTTAAGTAAAAAATAAATTAATAAAATGGATGAATAGAATAATAAGAACAAATTAGAAAGAGAAAATAAAAATTAGAGGGTCCATGTCTATAGCCAAATACTGTTTATAAAATAGAATTACCAACTCATGCAACAAACAGCAGGAAAAAAAAAATATATAGAAAATCATGAAGCAAATTAGAATATTGCCCAAAAGTGAACTCAATCATTAGATTTCATACAATAAAGGTCAACCGGATGGTACATGAGAATTACCGTCAAATTTTTAAATTGGCCTCTGTTGAGAACTATATATAATTTAGGGTCCTATTTATAAATAAAAAATATAGAAAAATTTTTTTTGTAAACAAAGTTATAAGGCTTTAAATAAGCCAAAATCTTTAATGATCATAAGCGATTTTTCTTGAAACGAGTGGAGATCGATGATAGTGAGACCCACGCAACTCTCACAGGAAAAGAAGGGATTGCGGTTGTCGAACCTTTGTGTTGCCACGATCTCAAGCTAGCTGAAAAAACAGAATCGCGGAAGAAACGCGAGAGCGATACAGTCGAGGTAAGAGCTAGCCGGGAAGAAGACGATCGGATCATTGTGCAGCATATGCCCTCATGATACAGTGGAGCTTAGAGCTAGTTGAAAAAGCAAAGACGGGATGGCGAGAGCTAACTGGGAAGGCAAGGAAGAGCGGAATCACGCAAGAGGCAGGGGGTTGGGGCGGCGCTTCCCAGTGGCTTGGAGCGGCTTCGAGGTAGCCTATGGTTTGGTGTGACTCCTGCGATGGAGGGTTGTAGACGGATGGTTTCGTACACGACCAAGAGCAAAAGAAGCACAGTTGCAGGCCAGTTTGTGAGTGTGTAGGCATTTGCAAGCTATTTTGCACTCGAGGCGGGAAGTAACAGACGAAGCTTCGACACTTTAGGCTTCATTGAAACATCAGGGCAATTTTGTGTGAAGAAGTCGTGTCTGATCTAAACTTGATCCTTTTGATTTAATTAAAATATTGGAACTTCTGAGAAAGATAGATCCAAAAGTTCCGAAGGTTTTGGTCTGGATCATACAGGGAACTAGGGTATCAACGAGAGTCACTACCTCAGCACATGCTCCGACAAGGTGAAGCTAGATCTCACCCATATGGATCTGAAGCTCGATGAACCAGCCACGTAACTGAGTTGGTTGTGTCAGATCGTGGCTACTCAAAGAGGGATATCTGGGAGTCGAGCCAAAGAGTGACCGTGTTGAGGGGGATGAGTGAAGGACCATACATGTGTCGCTTTATACCTGACTACTCAGCTCAATGGTTCAATCGATTGCCTCATTTGTTGATGGTATTCGAAAGGTGAAGGACATTTGGGCAAAGCTGAAAAGAAATTATGCTAGGACTGAGAACCAAATGAGAGTGTTCCAGATTCAGCGTATAATTGAGGTAGTGGTACAGGGTGATAGATCAATTTAGGAGTATTTTGAAGATCTATAGCGGTTGTGACAAGATCTTGATCAAATCTCACCTACATAAAGTTGTGGTGATCCGGACGGCAAGAAGAAGACCTTTGCACGGATGAGGACTATATAGTTTATGGCTTATCTGAACCGGACCTTTGATCATCCTCTTAGCCCGGGCAACGATTCCTACATTGGATGAGGTCATCGCTGTGATGATACAAGAGAAGAGTCGCATGAAGCGACACTCTGAGCCGAGTAGAATTCCAAGCATGTGATCAACTTTGGCTGCCTCAAGCTCGGGTGTGACAGGTGTCCAAGGGGAGACTTGTAGGTGCTGCAACTTTGGAGAAGTGAGACACCTGAGCAATGCTTTTCCAAAGCCAACCAAGATGAGAGATGAGTGGACTTAGACCGTCTATAGACCTTGGCTGTAATTGTGGGGGCCAAAGGGGTAGAAGAGGGGGCTACTAGACAAATTTGATGGTAGCAATGAATGGGGGAAAAACATGGGTGGTCTTTATTGATGAGAATCACGAGTTCCTAAAGAAGTTGATGACGAAACGAACAGCGACAGATGATGTGATAGAGAATGCATCCACCTTATCATCATCTAAGGGGACACTGCTACTTATGCTCACTAAGCCAAAGGTACCGTGAAGCACATGCTCTCGACTTTAAATCCACCACAAGATCAACAGAATATATAGTAGATTCTGGTGTATCCCGACATGTGATGTGTAGCTAGTGAGTTCTCTTCCTATACTCACATAGTAGTACCAGAGAGTATTCAAACTGTTGATGGTACAACACGGCCTGTGTTTGGTAAAAGTACAAGAGAGGTGTAAAAATTCTATGACAATGTCCAATATTTCGCATGCTCTTTCTTTTCCAGTGAACCTTTTATCCATTAATGTCATTATACTCCAACTAAAATGTGTTGTTTAATTTGATATTCCTAAGGTGATATTTCAAGAGAAGATAACTGACCAAAAACTTAAGACTGACACATGACATAGTAAACTCTAGTACTTGGAAAAAGAAATGATAGACATCCTTGACATATACGGTAGAGAGCGTTGGAATAGGAGGATCTGAGAGGATTGTGGAAGATGTATTGCTGCTAAAACAAATGTGCGGGACACTTCGTTTAGTTTATTGAGTTTTTGTTTCTGTCTTTATATGAAAAAGCAAATAAACAAAAACTTCTGAGTGATGCTTGTCAATTTGATAAGCATACCAAAAGCTCTCATGTTAGTTCTGGTAATACAAGTACTTGTGTTTTTGATATGTACAGGGGCCTTGTTCTACGACTTCGATGAATAGTTACGAATATTTTTTGACTTTTATTTATTGTTTCTCTCGTGTTACTTGGTTAAATTTGATGAGAAACAAAAGTGAAGTACTTGTCTACTTTAAAGACTTTCATTGCACGATTCAGACTCAATACAATGTAGTAGTGAAGGTTTTGAGGTATTATAATGAGACAGAGTATACTAACAAGATGTTTGGGGAGTACATGTCAACCCAAAGAATACAACATCAAACCACATATTCATACACACAGACATAAAATGGAGTAACAAATAAGAAGAATAGACACCTTCTAGAGGTAGTATGAATGGTGATCTTAATTAATGTCTCAAAGTACTTGTGGGGCAAGCTATTTTGACAGCCGCTCAATTGATCAACAACAAACCCTCAAGATTGTTGGAGTGACAATCTCTTTCTGACTTGTTGAAAAAAGATAATGGTGAGATCCTTCCATGGAATATATTTATTTGTCTGTGTTTTGTGAAGAATAATAGAACATCAATAAAGTAGTTGGATCTCAGAGCTGTTAAGTATATTTTCATGGGTTATTCTTCCACCCATAAAGGGTATGTTTATTGGAGCCCAATAGAGAAGAGACTGAGTGTGAATGTGATTTTTAAAAAATTTGAGCTATAATAAACGCTCGAGGTGACCTCACCCGTTATACTACCCTTTGGTAACTCGCTAGATACTGGAGATATGAGGCAAGAGGAGGAGAGTAGTGATGGTGAGAGATTGATACATGTGGGAATGATTCCTTGCCCCATTTTGTGGGAAGAGTTGATTAAGAAAGAGTCAGAAATGAAGAAAATGAGCCCAAGATGGTGAGATTCAAGCTCAAGGGAAGCTGAGAGTGTATAAAATAGGAGGTAGAATGAGGGAACAGTGTCTGTCGTGCCACTCGCGCCAAAAGTCCTGTCCCGATCTACCCCGAATCCTCAGACACCTGCACCATCCACCTCAAAATTTCAATTACATAGGTTATTTGATTCCTCTCTCTTCTCCTCCCACTCCCATGACTTTAAGGAGGACCTCTCGCCGCAATGCGGGTCATCCTCCTGATCGTTGTGGTTTCTCACATGACATTGCTCAATTTTTCTCATATTATAACATATCACCTTTACACGGAGATACTACCTCTACACCCGAGTGTTGGTAAGATAGAGCCAAAGTAAAAGGTTGTCATGCTAAAGGAACTTGATACTCTTGATAAGAGCAGTCAAGTGCAAACGAGTCTTCACAGTGAAGCATACATCAGAAGGAAATATGGATTGCTATAAAGCACAGTTGGTGTTGAAATGGAATAGTCAGGTGTATGACATCGGTTATGATGAGACATTTGCACTAGTGGTAAAAATGAGCACAATCAAGACACACTTCTCTCTGAGTGTGAATGGTGAATTGAGTTTACACTGACTGGATATAAATAATGTATTTCTTCACGGGGATCTACTAGGGGTGTGCATGAAGAAACCCTTAACTTCAACACAAACCAAATATTAGTCAAGGTATGTAAACTGAAGAAGTCACCGTATGGTTTGAAACAGTCTCCTCGGGCTTGGTTTGACAAATTCAGAAAAGCAACGGTAGGAATGGGCTATCAACAGATCAATGCCAACTACACAGTATTCTTTTAACGACATGATGATCACATTACTATTTTTGTTGTGTATGTAGATGATATGATTGTCACTGATAATGATAAGGGAGAGATTGTTCGGTTGAAGATAAATTTGGCCAAAAAGTTTGAGGTGAATGACCTGGGACAACTTAGACACTTACATGGGATTGAGATGACTCATGGAGCGGGAGGGATTGTTCTATCTCAGAGAAAGTATGCATTAGACTTGCTCGTAGAAACATGCATGCTGGGATGCAAGCCTACGATTTCACCATATGATCGGAAGGGAAAGTTGAACGCAAAGGTAGGAGAGTTAGTTAATCTTGCGAGGTACCAGAGATTGATAGGTCTTCTCATCTATCTATCTTGCGAGGTACCAGAGATTGGTAGGTCTTCTCATCTATCTCAGAGAAAGTATGTACTAGACTTGCTCGTAAAAACATGCATGCTGGGATGCAAGCCTACAATTTCACCAATTGATCAGAAGAGAAAGTTGAGCGCAGAGGTAGGAGAGCTAGTTGATCGTGCGAGGTACCAGAGATTGGTAGGTTGTCTCATCTATCTGAGTCACACTCGTCCCGACATAACATTTGCAGTAAGCATGGTAAGTCACTATATGCATAATTCGAGAAAAGGCCATAGGGATGCAATGTATTAGATTTTGAGGTACCTGAAGAGTGCACCAAGGCGTTGATCTTCATGAAAAATGGGCATTTAGGCAGTGAGGGCAGTTGTGACTCTGATTGGGCTAGTTGTGTTGATGATAAGAGGTCCATATTAGGATACTGCATGTTCGTAGGGGGCAATTTGGTCTCTTGGAAGAGCAAGAAGCAGTTGGTGGTTGTGAGGTCGATGATAGAGGCAGAGTACAGGGCCATGGCTTTAGGAGTTATCAAGATGTTATGGCTGAAAGCTTTATTGGTAGAGCTCAAGGTGGACCAAGGAGCTCAGATGAAGTTGTGCGAAAACAAGTTAGCAATCAGCATTGCCAACAACTCGGCGTAGCATGACAGAACCAAGCATGTGGAGATTGATAGGTTCTTCATCAAATGAGAAGCTGAATAGTGGACTACTGGAGATAAGTTATGTAGCTATTAGAGAGCAAGTAGTTGACAGCCTCAACAAGTCAACAATCAGCATTGTCAACAACTCGGTGCAGCACGACAAAACCAAGCATGTGGAGATTGATAGGTTCTTCATCAAGGAGAAGCTGAATGGTGGAATATTGGAGATAAGTCACGTAGCTACTAGAGAGCAAGTAGTTGACTGCCTCATCAAGGGACTAAGCTCAATAGAAGTATTTAAGTTGTGTGACAAGAAGGGCTTAGTGGATATTGTACATATTTTAAGGTCCTATTTGTAAATAGGAAATATAGAAGAAGTATAGGGATTTATTTGCAAAGAAATTTGTAAGGCTCTATATATACCCAAGTCATTAATGAATAAAAGTGATTTCTCTTGAGCAATTATTTCTATTGCCTCCTTTTTAATCTAATGAAAGACAGCCACTATAAAAGGTTTGAGCAGAATTTGCAGTTGAATGGCAGATTTCTAGAAATCTGCACATCAACACCACAAATTTACCCTTCCAGGGTAAATTTTAAGAAATATGGCATTGGGCAAATTTACTACAAATCAGAAACTTTGTGTGATATGGGTGGGTACTTCGCTCGCATCTCTCATGCCCTCAGTCCTAATGCAGTAAGGATTTATTTCAGTTTAAGAAGTTAGGATGTCTTATAATTCATGAATAATATCGACTTTTCTAAATTGTAATATAACTTGGGATATCCACATCCATCATTATGAATCATTATTTATCGAACGTCAATCTTATTTCCTTAACATATGTCTTGCGTAATTTAAGAAAAAAAACTTTCAAATTAATAAGATTATTAGCTTTTTATTTTGCTTATAAAGTTTGTCATGATGTACGATCCTTATAATAACAAAATATACAATGTACAACTTTTATTCCCAGTTAAGAAAAAATATACAAAATATGCATGATGTGAAATTCAATCAACACGCATTTGACATATATGTTCAACACTCCATTGGCATGTCCAATTAAAAACTCATTCAAGTAAATAAATAAAGGGTACTATTGAACGCTTGTGGGTTAAGTGAAATATATTTGATAGAAATGGTGCAATGACAAAAGCTTTCACCATTCAAGAAAAATAGGAGGCCTTTAATTTTTAAGATAACATGAAACAAGATATAAACAAAAATAAGTTTAGATTGCCCATTTTTATAATGTTTATTATTAGTCTCTCAAGTGGAAGAAGAAATTTTATTAGGATTTATATATATATATATATATATATATATATATAATGTTATTTAATTTGAATATTTACATGCATACCACTCAATTCCTATGTATCTACATATCTAACACCTAAATTTCAATTTTTACATATATGCCAAAGCATGAAAATGTGTATTGCACTTATTAAAAGGTAAAATGATGGTATTTTTTATGACATGAAAGATTTGGATGGTATTAATGTAAGAAAGTAAAAGTCTGGTGTTAGATATGTACATATATAAGAATTGTGTGGTATGTGTGTAAACGCCTCTATTTAATTTTAGGTTGACTTACATATCTACCAATCAAATCCTATCTATTAACATATCAACCACCTAAACTTCAATTTTTACCTACAGACCACCCAACATATGCCAAAAACAAAGAAATAAGGTGATCTATATGTAAGAATTGAAGTTTGGGTGGTTGATATGTTATATAGTAATTGGGTGGTACGTAGTGAATAGGACCCTTAATATAAAGTATTTCATATACCATATTATACCTTTTTTACAAAACAAATCTTATAATGTTGTAACATTTATTTTCAATAAACATATCACAAATCAATATCATATTGTGCTCAGTTCATGATCCTCATATCAACGCATCATTGAAAATTTAAAATAATTGAAGGGGAATTTGTTTTGCTTCAAAAGGTAAAAGTAATCAAGTAAATATTTAGAGAAGGATCAATGTTTCGACACTGAACTTGAAGCATTGGAACATGCTACTATAATTAACTCGATCATTCCAGTGAAATAAATTTCTTCTGATTATTTAGTTTTCACAAGGAGAAAATAATGAAGTTATTAATTTTAAAGCCATATTAATTTAAACAATACATATATTAATTTTTTTTTTCTTTTTTTGGGGGCAAGTGAGCCTTAAGGGCGCCAGGGGTTAGTTAGATTAGTGTGAATCGAACTCGCTTCATTGGATGGGAGAAGAGGCACCCATACCATAAGACCACAGTTTCGATTGCACTATACATATAATATGAAATTCAAATTTTCGAACATTAAATAGCTATTGATTACGTGGTAAAAATGATGAGGACTTCCTAAGTTGCAATAGATTTTAGAAAGCTTATATTAATAATAAATAATTATGACACATTTCAATCGAAGATATTTCCTACCTTCTTAAACGAAGAAAATCTTATCAATGTTAGGACAGCAAAATCGATGTAACTAAAATAATATGAATCCGCAAAGTGGCCATCAACAAAAGATTTATCTGAAATCTTTAGCAGTAGTTTTCTAGAAAATTTGACGCAAAGATCTCCAGAAATCTTTTGATGGTCCGAAGATTTCAATAAATCTACCATTAAAGAGCAGATAGATTTTTTCAGTGGCAGATTTAAACTCTTTAGTTTATTTTGATAGATCAAAAGGAACTAAGTTTTTCTCTTTAAGTACTAACCTTGCTTTGCCTAAGGTCCACCAAAGCTTTATACCTCCCAACTGATGCCATGCTTCCGAGGTGTCTGTATACAAACTGATCTCCAAAATCTATATTTTTGGCTTGGTTTGCATAGCCGCCGCCTGATTTACCGATTCGGTTTATCAGGCTCGCTAGGTATTTCCCTTGCCTCTCTGCTACCTATATTGACAGAGCATTAGAAAGAATTGATGGTCCATTGATCCGATTGGAAGCACTGAACAGAATCAAAAGGCATAAAGTTATTTTTAAAGATGAGATATTATAACACATGTAGTAAAGTGTCAACATAGTAGTTTATAAAAATGTTAATCAGTCTCTGGAATGAATTAATGGGAACCAAATTAGCCCTCATTGGGGACTATTTGAACTCATAATAAAAGAGCATAGAGACTAAATTGACACTTTAACAGACTCAAGGACTAAAATGGCCCCATGCAAAAAGTCGGGAGACTATTTTAACATTTTCTCATAATACATGGAAAGAAAGCCAACCCTAAGCATGTTTGCAATCAGTTGAGGAATCAATAATAGAATATATATATATATATA